CCATAACCGTTTGCTTAACTCCTTTCCTCCTTTCTTCAATAGTTCTGCCTGTAATCCATCTTCGCCTGGTGATTTGTACTTTTTAGCATTTTTATTTTTGTTTCGATTTTCTCTAGTGTCGGTTCTGGGCGTTCGATGTTATACTCATTTTCACGACTGAAGGTAAATACCTCTCCTGGCTCATCGCAAATTAGTAGTTCGTCGAAATAATTGTTCCATCTTTCTATTATGGCTTCCTCTGTGGCTATTAGCCTTTGTCCTCCTTAAGAAAACTTTCTTTCTTTTTATACTTCCTACTAAGCTAATTACTTTTTGGTATAACTCTCTTTAGTCTTGTATTTTTTATACCTATTCGTTTTCCGCCTTTTCTACCATGTTTTTTTTTTAATCGTCTCTTTTCACATTTAATTATATTGTGTGCTTCTTTTTGTCTTGGTCTAAATCTTCCAGCCACTTTTGCCTCGCCAACTTTCTTCTTATGATCGCTGCCTCACATATCGTATCAATCCAAGGTTTTTTTGTACTTTTTTCTTTTCTAACGTTGTATTAGTTACTTATTTAATCATTACATTATCATTTTAATAGTTCGGTAACAATATTGCAGCGTCCCCTTATAGCTGAGCTTGTGCCCCTGGGCTTATAAAACATTTATTTAAATAATTCCCGACTCTGGCCGGTATTAAAACTACTTAACGACACCGAGACGGCCTACAATAATACGGCTGTGAATCGTTTAGACCCTTCGGTACAAGTAAGTATATAGGTGTAATAGTACACTAATAAACACATGGTGGTATACATTGTCGTCATTGCATACATTGTGCCAGTTGCCTCGTACCTCGGTGACGGTTTTAATCAAGCTAAACACTATAGCGTGTCCGCGCTTAAAACGATTTAAATTCGTCCCCGAGGGGCCGGCAAGTGTGCGGTTATTTTTTACCGTTTTTATTATTTTTTTATTATTATTTAAGTTTTGTTTTTTATTTATTATCATTCTCGGCTTTCGCACGGCCGCACGGACCTCCTCGGCGAATTTATAAATCCCTTTGTCCGACCCTCTCCGGCCGGCCTGGCACGTTGTACGACAATACGGTTTTATCTCTTACGGCTTTTACGACGGTAATTACTATCCAAATGTATATCAATTAAATCAATTCTGCAAGGGGTGAGACGACAATATTCTACACTTCCCGTCGGGTCCGTAGGTCGTTTTGCATTTGTGTGTTTAATACAACCGCGGAAAGCACTTTGTCCGTATCGAGCTAATAGTGGGCCAACCTTACACGGTGGTCTTTTGCAGGGACACTCTTAGGTTAGGTTAGGTTATTTGTCTTAGGAACTTTATCGAAGATCGGACAGTGTTAGTTAATATTATTGTCTTTTCCGACCAAAATTGCTTAGAATAGTCCTGAGAACCAAGAGGATATTATAAAATTAGATCTAGCAGATGAAACCATGGGAAACTGGGAAAGGTGATGAACCAGTGCCATTGTGCGAAGTTATGCGAAAGGGCACCCTAGGAAAGAGCACCGGGAAACAAGGTAATATTATATAATGGACAATTAGTGTGAGTTGATACGACTTTTGCGAGAGAAGTACTTAATAGTGTATTATAACTATAAAAATATCATAATATAAAACGACTAGTGATTTGTGCGCGCCGAGGGTTCTTCCCGCGTTTAGTAATAAAAATAATAACATATTTTTTTCTGGTTTGTTTTGCGAAAATATGAAGGGAGAGCAGGAGGAAGAAGAGATATAAACTACAGAGGCTATTATGGGAGGCGTGAGTATGTAGATATTCACCACGTTTATTGTCATTTGTTTAACATAATATCACAAAGTCGATTGTGCCATTCGAGTGGAAACCCATTCATGTTTGTGCGCATGTTCTCCTTTTGTGTTTGTGTGTGTATGCAGTTTAGCATAATACTATATTACATTATACCCATCCGTGTATTGTATTCATACGTGCCTTCTATGCCCCGCAGAGGAGGTTTGAACAGTGATAAATGACTGCCGGATTTCGTATACACTATACGGTTGTCCGCACGGTCGGACCCGCAATATTGTATTATATATTTTTTAAGAGGCCGTAAACATAATATTAAAATTATATATGCTCCTGAGAACCGAAGGGAGGAGGGAGAAATTCGATAAAACATAAGGATCAATGCTTTTGCAATACAAATTATTGGCATTTAGTGTTTGACCCGTTTAAAAGCGGTCGCTTAGAAATAATTTTTTGGAAAAATGCCTATGTTATATAATTGCACCAAATGACAAAATAAGTTAGTAGCATAAGTCGAGTCGACTAGTAATGAATATCATCACGCCCTAATAAATAAGAGCATTTTCAAAATGTATTAATGATATTGTTATTTGTGTTTTGCAACTAAAAGTTAATTTTATTTCATGGTTAGTATTGTTCTAAAACGTCTTTTTATAATATTAATAAAAGTAAAAACGTTGAACATGGTACAATAATATTTGGTACTATAATGTGTGATGGATAAAACGTCTAGGAACCCATTTTTGTTAGCTTATTAATTGCTCTTGTTAAATTTGCACATATTGGGTTCTATCATTGAATGGCCTCCCTCCTCATATTATATCACCGTTTAGCTATAATGCCTATTTAGCTATATTTTATTATTACGCCTCTTAGCATAGATTGTAAACAATCTTTAAATTAAAAAATTTCACTCCGTGCCGTTCAATCAAATTAACTTAAACTAGTTATTTATTTTTACATGAATTCGGCCACCCTTATTAGTACAGTCTTAAAATTAGACGGAGTTCAAGTAAAAGGGAACAAGTCAATTTTATCCAATTTTCGGTTACATTTCAATTTGTTAGGAAATTTCCAGACGGATCCATTGGGGACACTGTAGTTTTCATGTGACCATGTGTTATCAATGTTATTATCAAATGGGGTTAGGCTGTAGGAATAGGTCATATAACTCATAAATCGTGTTATGAGAAAAGAAACTAGTCATAATAGTATAATATGAAACATAATATCTAGATAAATAGCAAAATTGATAGTGAAAACATTATATTGTTATAATATAAGACTTGACAATCATCAAGTCATTAAGTAGAAAATATGGCAGTAAAAGTTGAAAATATTACTTCTTCACAGTTAAAATTTGAAAAAACCATACGAGTTTTAAAGTTTGAACTTTTACTGGCTATAATTTCGATAAAAAGAGTCGGATCTAGTTGAAATTTATAAGGAATATTGAGTTGGTATGCTCCCACACGTCAATAGTCTCAAATATAAATTATACTCATTCCCAACCCCCTAGGTGGGGTGAAAGGTTTTTTTGTTTTTTAGCCGTAATTTTAAGACCTTTAAGTTAAAATTAATTGTCAGTAGTTAGAACTTATATGTATCGATAACTATGTATCGAGTATAGGCATATTGGAATCAAAACAACGAGGGGACGGAGAGTCACCGGTCTACAGAAATTATTATAAATAAAATTGAAAAAAAAAACACTTTCAAATAAACTCTTTGATGCTTATTTGTAAATACAGCACCTCAATTAAATACTTTCTAACTTTGCTGCCAATGTTTTTAATTATATTTTTACAGTATTTTTATAGTATACACGGCGATGGACGCTACGCTATTTTTTTAGTTAGCTCCGTGCCACTACCGTGTCGTTGGATAAGGTATATAAACTTGTATTATAACACTCGAAATAATTAATTTTTTTTTATTTAAAAAAAAAGTTATGGAGATTGGTAAGAAAATAGTCTGAACTTGCGTCAGTGTAATGCAAATATGTAATTATATAAAAATAAAAACAGCTATTTAAATAAATTGACAGATGCACTGCCAAATGTATTTCAATTTTGCTGTTTTGGTCGACATAAAACACAAAAATTAATTGTTATTTTGCTCATGAACGTTTGTATTTAAGGTGTTTAAATTTATTACTTATTGTATACCTATTAACCATCTTCTGACATTGTAAGTATATTTTTAATTATTTTTTATAATTTTTTTTTAGTTTTAGTAGTTATTTGTTATTGTATATTTGTATTATTTCAAGATATAATAGAATTATTTTGATACTTGTGTAAAAATTTTTTTAGTTATGTAGGGTTACACATTGAAAAACTCCGTTTTCAAAACTCACTTTAGGATTGGTTTAAGGTTTTTGATAGATCCATCGTAATGCTCTAAATGAACACATGTTAAATTACTGATTATTGAAAACTAAAAAATTATATAAATCATTTTTAGCTTCGATGCAATAGCTGAGAAGGTATTGGTTTTATAATGAGGTTATATATAGGGGTGAGGAGGTCACAGGTGTACAGGAATATAATTATAACTAAATGTGATAAAATCACTTTTTCATAAACGCTTCGATGCGAATCATTGGTTAGTATATTCAATCTAGTATAGTCCAAACCTTAAAAAGCACAGTAAGAAAGTATTATACGTATGTTTATAGTATTAGTAAGTAGTAACACTAATTTACTCTATTCGCTTTATAACTTTCCTCGCTTCTCTAGGACTAGCTGATAATCTCAGGGACCCAAGTAGAATATGTATTATATATATTGTGTACTTAGTTTACCCTGTAAATACATAGTTATAATTGCATACTTAAAAGTTACATCACTTAAAGGTACGACCGCCCGCATAGCCCTTCAAACGATATATAAAATCTACAAAGGGGAATTTAGGTTTATTTAATTGCTGATACGAGTTAGCCAACCGCTCTCTATTCGAGACCCGTTGATTAAGTGAACTAGCCAAGCAGGCTCGTTACATTTTGGTGGAGGTGTTCTATACAGCGACATATTATATAATAAATTAAATATTAAAGTACAAATTACAAAATTCGAGCAGGCTCATTAGTCAATACAATAGGATGGGATGTGGAGTGCGGTAGAGTAATGCGTGCATATAAAAATAACTCTACGCGCTTACTCTACCGAACTCTACCTCCCATCCTACCCTTTAACCTTTAATAACTTCCAAAAATAAACGTGTATCATTTTTTGTGTACACAAGTGTCCTTCGACCTATAACGTTTTTAAATGTTACGAATTAAGTAAAAATTGTGAAGAAAAAAAGAACTGCCGTACTTACAAATAATAAATGAACACGTATACACTACATGCAAATATTTAAAAAAAAAGAATTGCTAGGCTCCATCATTTAATAAAACCGAATATCCTACAAAAAATATTTAATAGTTTTAAAATTTTCAAAATAGTGGCTTTAGTATAGTATACAATCCTCTTAGTATGTAGGCTTATCAACGAGCTACAACATTAGGCATTTACCTATTTATTGAAACTTCTATGCAAAATTATGTAGAACTAGTTTAGGTATATTATTCTGTGCTTCTAGTTCAAGGTAATGCTTCGATGCGAATGTGTGGATACTTTACGATGGATTTAGATGTGATGAAATCTTGTTTTGGAATTTGCCGGTTTATACTGAAATTGGTTCGGGCTGTGCTGGTTTAAACTGTGGCAATTTTTTAAGAAGTTATTGAGTTTCTAATTTTAGTTTTTGGCCTATTTAAGTACGTTAAGGTACGATTTCTGGTCTATAAAGTTGCTACACGAAGTAATTGCTTCAGCGGCTTATAAGATATGGTGGGTTCAGACACAAAAAAAAATATAAATAAAAACACATCATTGTAATACCAATATCTTCTCAACTCCGGATAAAATATAATAATTATATAGTCACTGAATCTTACACATAACGACTAATTGTTTATTATTATTTTTGTAGATAAAATATGAAACTTTTAGGTATTTTAATATCATTTGCATTGGTTGGACATGTTTTGGTCACTAAATTAGGTGGTTATTTAATTTTTACACGTACTTACATGAGGTAGTAGAAATCTGTAAAAAAAAAAAACAATTTCTAACTTTTTTTACAGATGACTATATTGAGGAGGTTATCTTAACAAGTAAGTATACATTTTTTTCATACAACGAAATATTTTATGCTTTATACTTTTTTTTATAATTTATTACAGATGAAGACATCAAGCAAGCAAAAAGTAAAACTTGAAATACTAGAAAAAATATATAATTTAATGTCTGATAATGTTTGAATTAAAAATTTTAGTTTCTGTAATCTGGTCAGATTAAGAAAAAATGAGATGATATTACCATTGTTTTAAAAACAAATTAAATACTTAACTTATAAAAATCAAATAAATTTTATATATGTATGTTGAAGAACTATAGTTTTATTAAAAATCACTTGGTTACATACAGCGACTATTAAACCTAACCTTATCCGTCACCAAGTTTCCAGAACATCCCATATTACATTGTAGTCGCTACAAGTCTATTATAAAATATGTTTTTCATTATTTGTTTTTTCTAGAATTCATGCCGGAAATAATTAAACACATTGTTGTGAACTATGAAGAATATTGGCCGGGTAATCAAAATTATAAAATAAATAAACATTTACCATATTATTATAATAATGATAAAGCACGCTAGAAGTTACAATAATTTTTTTTTAATTATATAAGTTTTTGTAAAACTATAAACCTATAATGTTACTCTAAAATCTAAATGGAATCTTTCTGACAAACAACGCTGATTTTACTTCTTTTAAAGTCATCTAGTCATTGTATTTTATTCTATTCTATTCACATTTGCTTCAATTCAGCCATTTTATTATCTTAGTGTCCACTCAATTTATTATAATAGATCCAATTACATTTTCACCAAGTTTATTATAATATATATGTGTTTCCTACTCAACGCCCGTCTTTTTATTTCAATTAACATGAAAAACGAAATCCAGTATTTATAAAGTAATACTTTTATTTTATGTTAATTTCAGAGGCAATGGCTTTTATGTTGGCGGTGCCGGGTAATAACTACCAAAACATTTTATACAAATATATCACATGTTTTGGGGTATCTAGTATCTACCACCCTCCTAACTCATCCTAATAATAGAATTTAATGTCATGAAATAATAAATGTAAGTTATGTTAATTACAGAGGCACTTGATGTTAAATTAGCGGCAACAGAATATGGTAATATTTTTCTTGACATTTTATGAACATACTTGTACATAGTTATTAGATATTTATTATGTACAAAATGTTTTTATTTTTATTTCAGAAAGTGACTCAGATTCTGATGGTAAAATGTGATATTATTTTTCAACCCAGTTATTTGATATTTATTATGTACAATTATTTTTTTTTTGTTTTAATTTCAGAAAGTGACTCAATTTCTGACGGTAAAATATGTTATTATTTGTCAACATAGTTATTTTATATTCATTAGGTACAATTTTTATTAGATTTAATTTTATGCTAATTTATAATTAAGCTGTGCTTTATTTGTACTTTACTGGTTATGGCGGAACTTAATTTATACTCAACGTGTTTGAACTGCACTTGTTTGGAATGCATTGGTTCAGGCTATGCTGATTTAGGCTATGCTTGATTTTTCTAGAATAATAGATTATAATATAATATAATGTCATGAAATATTATTTTTGAATTGTGTTAATTACAGAGAATATTGATGGTAAATTGGAAGGACCGGGTAATTATTTTCTTATCATTTTATGAACATATTCAACATAGTTATTTGGTATTTCAGCTTCTTCGACATTTTCATATCTTTTTCATTTTAATTTCTTTTATACCCTTGTGTACATTTGTTTTTTAAGTAACAAGTTTCTATTAATTTGTGTAGGTTTTCATCTAACCATTTCTTCTCTTTTATAATTTTTAACATGGCTTCTTCTAGAAGCATTGTGAACAATAGTTTGCATAGCTTAATTAAATTTAAACATTCTTAGTTTAAAGTAACTGTAATAAAGAAATTATAAAAAACTGTTTTTGTTGACTGTACTATTATTATAATTTTTATTACAGGCCCTAGTCAAAATCAAATTCAAGATCTAAATCCTGGTCCATCCACTGTTCCCGAAGAAGGTGATCATAAATTTATTCGATAGTCGTAAATGTTTCTTAAGGGCATGATTATCAGATAAAAATATGTACATCGAATTTTCCATAATTTGAGAAAGTTTGTATTTTTAACTCCCACTAACCCTTATTTCAGTTTAATTTTTAGACCTTACGACACAGCATTTTTTTTCTTACAATTGAAATAAGGAAAAGTTTTCAATCCTTCTAGGAAAAAAGATTTAAATATTTTTTTCGTCTGTCCTTCCTAAATCGAGGAATGAACTAAATGAACCAAAAAGTTAAAAGCTCAATAGTAAAATATATAATAATGGAGCAAGCTGGAATTAGATCGGCGAGGTCTATACCTGCCTAAAATTAAAAGTAGAACTTTTATAGATTTATATTAGAACTTAGAAGTAGTGTTTTTTTAAATAAAATTTTACAATTTTATTAGATTACCTCAATATATATTTCGGAAAATGATAAATCATTATAAATCTAATACTAATAACAAAAGCCAGTGCAATGTGGTCGGGGTATAGTGAGCACGAAGCATAGTGGGGACGAGGAGGTCACAGGTATAAAGAAATTATTAGAACAATAAGTGATAAAATCACTTTCAAATAAACGCTTCGATGCGAATCTGTGTATAGTAAGTACAAACGAGTATAGTTCAAACCATGCGCAGTAAAAACCAGCACAGTAAGAATGTACTAAAGTTAAGTGCGGTGTCCACGTATTATTATCAAAGCATTTTTTTTTTTTTTTAAGTGGTTTTATCCAAGCAAGCCAGTACAGTAGGGTAGGGTCATAGTGGGAACGATGTGGTTACAGGTGTACAAGAATTATTATAGATTAACGTGATAAAACCATTTTCAATTAAACGATTTGTTGCTAATCTGTGGACCCTCTTTTTATTGTTTTAGTGTGATTTTAACACTTTCAGCTATAATAATTTCTGTATACCTGTAACCTCCACGTCCTCACTATGCTCTGTCCTCAAAATGCCCTGACACTGAACCGTTTTTCTTTGCAAAAATATAGTGACGTTAAACATACAGATTATAAATATCTTGTTAAATTCTGATAAAATGGTCGGTACTTTAAATTACAATAGCTTGTACTCAAAAAAAAAAAAATTTTATTAATAATAGTTATATGCACTGAACATACCTTTTTTTTTTTTTTAACTGTTAGAATTGTAGACGGCCCCGGAACTCGGACTTTAGCCATTACTTCTGGGCCGCCTACATCGTTTATTGTGAAATCAGTATATAATTATTTACATGAGGAAAAACACAATACATCATTTTATGTACAATAATTTATCTCTAATATGTTCCCATCACGTCTTCTGCCCCGCGTCGCAGATGCAGCCGGGCCAAACACTTCTGGGCGGTCATCCTTCTTCTTCACCCCGCGTTTCAGACGTTGACGGACCTTTCCTTTGTCTTCGCTTTCCGATAGGCCTCACACTTCCCACTGTCGGGATAGTGATTGTCACTTTTCTCCAGCTCGGCACAGAGCACACATTGTGGCGCAGATTCGCAATATTTAGCAAGATGCTGCTTGCTGCCGCACTGTTTAGTTCTGTCCGGTCCATTACATGTTTTTGCCTTACGGCCGTAGCCGTGGCATTTAAAACATCGCTCAAACTTGCGCTCCTGAATTCGAACTCTACAGGATAAGAATTCGACTTTTACGCGGCCTCTCTTCATTATGTCCTCTGCGACTCTCTCCTCAAACCTTCGATTTGTTTTTCTTTCTCTTCTTTTTAGGGGTTTCCTCGTCTTTGTCATCTGTTTTCCGGTTGGTGGCGGAGATCTTCTTCGGGCCTTCCAGAGGCTGTGTAGGCGCATCTTTCCGATCGTCAGAACTCCCGCCACTCAGTTTCTCGTTATCTTTTGGTGGCTCTGCCGCGGTTTCCACTCGTTCACTTATAGACTTCAGAATCAATCCAATTTACTTAACAGCTCCTTAAATCACTCTGCTTACGCTTCTTCCACTTTTCACCTTGATGTAATCCTGTATGGCCCCATATTGCACTCCAAGCTCCAGGAGATCTGCAGCGTTAGGAGTTGCCTGGGACATTGGCGGTCATTAATTCCGGACACCGTCTCGTGCAGCACAGTGACGGTTTCCGCAATATGGTCCCTTATTTCTCCTTCTTTATGTCCCGCTTAAACCTCGGTGACCAGGCGGGAGGCCTGTTGCAACGCCAATTGAATTCCGCAGCCAATGGCTACGTCATCATCGACTAGTTGGCAATCGTCGACGACCCCGAAGCTCCCTTCGGACATCGGGGATTCAAAGGTCTTCTTGCGTTTTCTCACCGGTTCTATGACAGGGGTTCCCTCCTTGCGGGGCATCCTGATCTCCTCGTCTTTTTCTGGCTGTTTCGAGATGATAACCGGGCTTCCTCATCTTCATCTGTCATGGATCCATTCATATTTGCAGATGGGCTATCAGGCTTCGCGGATGCGCTGAACATACCTATCCTATGGCAACCTATGACAACCTTATGTGTTGTAATACATAATTTTCTACTAAGATTGGAATTTTCATAATAAAACAACTAACACTTGATTACTTACCTAAGTATCTCATATTTTTACAGTCGAGTGAATTAATATTTCAAAATAAGTAATGACATTTGTTGGTAATATTTACTAAAGCACAAATCCAAGAGTAATACATTTAACTATAATATTAAAATATAGTTTTCTTTATTCATGAAGTACAAAATGTTTTTGTTTTAATTTTAGATATTGAAATCCCAAATTCCGATGGTAAATCAATAATAGAGCTTGAAGGTAAACAGATATTTGTAATACTGATATCTATCATCAGCAATTATTTACATTACAATAATTGATTATATTTTGAACATTAGAAAAGCTACTGTTGCAGAAAATGATGCGATTAGCAATACTAGCTTTAACAGGTAAATAGCAAATTTAACGAACAATTGTACAATAGATCATATTGCTTATTTAAATCTAAATAAATTCAGTTTAAAGTAACTGTTAAAGTAGAGAAATTATAAAAGCTGTTTTTTTTAATTTCTTTTTTTTATAATTTTATATAAGGTAAACATATATTTATAATATTGATTTCTATCATTAGAAATGATTTACATTAAAATTGATTTTATTTTGAATACTAGATAGGTCAAAGTACGAAAATATTATGCAATCAGAAATAAGTCCAGGTAAATAAAAAATTACTTTTAATAAAATTGTGAAGTACGCATGTAGGCAATATTGTAACACCAATATTTTTATATTTTATTTAAAAACATCAAATATTTAAAACTAAAATGTCATCATAGTTTTTTATAATTTAAGTATGTATGGCTAGACTTGAGCCGCTAGAGATTAGTTTTTGAAAAAACAAAATATCTGAGAGTATAAGTGGTAAATTTGTATCCGAACAATATTGGTAATTACTAAGATACGAAGTACAATTTTATTCGAGTTAAATGTAATAAGTTTTTGCTTCTAGTTTTGACAACCGACCGTAATTAAAATCTTTAACTCAAACTCGGCTTTTAAATATACTTTTTAGTTGTACAACGGTTTACATTGATTAAGTAAATCTAAACAATTTCAGTTAGAAGTAGGTAGCTGTTATAGAGAAATTATGAAAACCGTTTTTTAATTGACTTAATTATTGTTATATATTATTTTCTTACAGATACCATTCCAATTCAAAGTCTAGATCTAAATTATTCGCCTGATTCCAAAAAAGGTAATCATGAATTTATTCGATAGTCGTACATTTTTTCTTAAGGGTTAGGTTATCAGACAAAATATATAAATATGTATATATGTTAATCGAATTATTTTGATTGATTCTCAAAATTGACTTTAACTAAGAATTAATGAGGATATTAGTTGTCCAATATTGTTTTAGCATCGATGCAAAGCGGCGAAGGTATTGGTTTTACTCTGATGTGGGCTTTTTTTATATCTGTATAGGTACACTGTAACTTTTTTAATGCTGGACCATTTCCTTCGAGTAGCAACTCTATAAATCACGAATTTCATCTAGTTGGTACTTTGAGGAGTGTAAAAGTTTACTTCTTCACAGTCAAAATTAAAAAAAATTAAAAATAAACCATACGAGTTTTTAAGTTAGAACTTTTACTGGCTATAATTTCGAGAAAAAGAGTCGGATCAAGTTGAAATTTATAAAAAATATTTATTTGGTATGCCCGCACACATCAGTTGTATCAAATTTAAATTAAACTCATTTCCCACCCTCCTAAAGAGGGTTCTATTTTTTTTGTTTTTTAGTTTTGTTAGCTGTAATTTTAAGACCTTCAAGGTGAAAATGTATTAGTAGTTAGAACTTATATGTATACATAATCCAATTTTTTTTTTTTTAACTACAAACATGGTGTACCAGATTTGCGAAATGAACAGACGCTAATAACTGTTAGTTGGTAACGTCGACCCGTGTTAGGTTAGGTTAGGACCCAACGGTCGGTTTCATAATATTGTGTTTATCACATAATATCACAGACGACAAAGTCGTGTAACTGGTTACAGAAAATACACGAATTATTGGGAAAAAACCCGATCCGTCTACTTATTATGACACTTAATTGTGTTGACACGGCTAAACCCTCGTCGTTATCTCGTTATTTTATTGCCTGCAGACGACCGTACCGAAGGTCAATTATGAAAATATTAACTACCGATTTGCATCGAAGCGTTTTTTCGAAAGTGATTTTATCACTTTTAGATTAAAAATCATGTAAGCCTTTGACCTCACCATCCCCACTATCCCCCGACCCCACTGTACTGGGTTTTTTATTTTAACACTTCATGACTCTGCTAACGAAGGTATGACTTGTAATTAATAATCCAATTTTGAGTGTGAACTTTATATCCTATTCTAGTTGTAATTTCAATTATTGTTAAAAAACTAAATTTTTTACCATAACAAAATGACACTATAGATATCGGAACTGATGTTTTTTATGGCCGTATTTGTTTTAACCTTATAATTGTTTGATATTTTATATATTTGGATACAAGACAATAATTTATTTAAAAATACTTATTTAATATGTATTGTGATGCAATCACAACTCACGAGCAACTAATTTTTTTTTGTATTTCTATTACCTATTATCAACACGGCATTTTATGATTTTTTGCAGAAAATTTAGTCAGCCTTTTAGAAAAGAGAAGTATTCGTCCTACAGCAGTTCCAAGAAATAGAATCATCCGTTCATTTCGTAAGTGTTTGTACTGAGTTGTAATGGTTTTTAGACTACTATATACTTTATATACCTATATGCTAATGAAAATAATAGGTTTTTAAAAACAATTTCTAATTCAATAATAATATCCGTTAATTAAGATCTTTATATCCTATTATACTCTATTATATTCTAGTATACTAACTAATGGTGACGTTATGATTACAATTATTTGTCTTTGAATATAGGATGTTTTAATATCAATTGATTTCTAAGGTGTTTGATAGGAGCAATTGACAACAATATTTAAAGCATACAACATACTTTAAAAATCATCCTTATTTTATGTTATATTTTAGGTCCTTTTTTAATTTTAAAAATCTAGAAGTTTTAATTAAAACTGATGGTATAGTTTAATAATAATGGCATGGTTGTGCAAAAAGTTGACAGAATTACAGTTCTTTTAAATGTAATGCGATTCACTTGGAAGCAACTAATTTATTTTTTATTTGTTATTGAGGCCTGACTACATTGGGAAGAGCAAGAAGAGAAATGGTTTTAGAAGCTTTAACATTATTAATACGTAAATATACATATAGTATGAACTGTAAAGAAATAATAAATAATTTACAGACATTCATTCTTATCACAGTAATACACACATTTAGTAGGTAGTATGGATCTGCCACTACATGAATACCATCTGAACTCTTTTTTCTAACATACAGATATGAGTTAGTATAATTAAGATTAGATATTTTTATCTTTATGATATAAGTCTTTAATTGATTCTTTTTGGGCTTAATGTCAATTCTAATAATCCAATTTTATTTCTTAAAAATTATATTTGAAGTTATATCGGGTGTATAATTTTGTTCAAAATAAGGCCTAGTGTTCCCTCTATTTAAAAAAGTGAATGAATAAAAGTAAAACGGTTTTATAATACGGAAAGCCTATGCATTGTTTTATTTTTCTATAGTTTATTATAAAAGTGTATTACTGTGTAAAGTTTTATCTTGTAAATAACGAAAATTAGTAAGAAAATAGCTAAATTCGGTAAATTTTTTTTAAGGTCAAAACGATCCAGTTTTCCAGGATTTGTTCATGATGTGTCGTTTAGCAGCAGTACTTAGAAGTATTAAATATCCACTTTCATATATAATCTTTACTCTTATTACCAAAGAATATTGTTATTTAATAAGTCCATTGAAACCTTACACATACACATACAAATTCAATAATGGTGAATTTTGGGAAATAGACGAAAATCGTCGTACTCTAATTAAGCCGTTTTTATCTGAGTTACAATAATTTGAATCAGGAATTATAATAATAACTTTATTTATAATGCAATTATTGTTTTGTCAAAACAATTTTTTCATACCGCACTAATTTCCAAATTGTCAAAAAATTGAATGTATTTAATAATAAATAGTTTTCATCACGATGATAAAAATATTTGCTTATGTATTTTATCTATAATGTTATTTTATCATTTTTAGCTTCGATGCTATTGGTTTTACAATGATGTTGTCAGTATACACTGTAACTTTTTTAATACTGGACCAATTCCTTCGAGTAGCAACTAGCAACTCTATAAATCACAAATTTCATCTAGTTAGTACTTTGGACGCAGATTTTATATATATTAACATAAACATCTTAAATAATATAAAAAAATTTGTCACATCATTTTTATGGGCATCTATTAAATATGATAATATTAAGTTTTGATACCAGTTTTAGGTTTTATTAAATAGGTTTTATTACTACGATACAATTTAGATATATTTTAATAATAATTAAAAAAACATGAATATTACATATATTTTATATTTTTCGTGAAAATTTAACTTTGCTCCTATACTATTATCAAAAACAAAACACAATTTCAAAAATCTCTATGTAAGGTTATAGTATTGATAAAACAGCTAGTGACTTTAAACGTTAGTAATATTTAAGTAATAAGTAATATATGTAAGTATAAATTACTTTTAATTTCATTGTTGGAGACTCAATTTTTTCTTTAGAACACCACAAGAAATAAATATTCAATTTAATGATATATGTAAAGGTTTTTTTTAGTAGCGTTTTGTTTTGTACGTTGCCAATCTAGTAAAATAGAAGTATAATAAAGCTATAAAAGAATATAATCTGTGTAGTGCAAATAGTTAGTGTGAGATTGGTCTACTGGAAGTATATAATACATGCATATTATTTTTATTGGGTATAAGCGATTGTAGTTGAAATTATGGAGTACAAACGATTAAAACATGAATTACCGACCATTCCAACTAAATTTAACAAGATACTGATTATGTGTTATTTGGGCCTCTATGTTTTTGCAAAAAATAAAAGCGTTTATTCGAAAGTGTTTTTATCACTTTCAGTTGTAATAATTCCTGTAAACCTGCTACCTCCCCGTCCTCACTATGCCTCGATCCCACTGTACTGGTTTTTTTTCATTTGTAAACTCATTATAGTACGATTTTTTATATGAACACCTGTTTGTTGCTAATGTTGTCCGGTTCTGTGACAAATCATACTGGTATCCGTCACACACAATAGTATATAATAGGCATATTGTTGTGCTCGTCGCGGATACAATCGAACTGCAAGAAACACAGACAAAAATAAAACGTTTTGCACATTATACATAGGTGTGTATCACATTATACCTATGTAATATTATTTTCATGTACCGGGGGTTGAATACCGTGTTTGGCTAAGGTAGTCGAGGCAAAAAATAAATAAATACACGTTTTTTTGCTGTCGAATTTATTCTTTTTCTCTTCGACACAAGCACGCTGTTAATTTCGGTTCCTTTCAGCGTTCTCCGTCGCGGTCCTGCCGACCGGTGTACAACCTTAAGGTCTCTTATTGTCTTGGTGACACATAACACACGGGCTATTAATACGTCTATAGTTCTCTATCACACGTCCCCGCGTCTTAGTCATTTCCCATGTGGCACATTATATACAAATAATATATTACACATTTATAATATGTGGAAAAAGAAACCCGGCGAGGCGACCGACCGGCCGTTGTTTGAACCTTTTTTTTTCCGGTTTCCATTATTGTCCTCATTGTGCGACACACGGATAAATTGCACCTAGTAGTCCGGATCTTTGAATAGCCTGTAAATTTATTTCACAACACGACTCCGGCGCGGACAATTCGTTTTTAACAATAATTTAGGTATTAAAAGTACCTAAGAAACACACCACGCCGATACCGACCGGATGATTTATAATCGCACAAAGTGTCCGTGGCTCGCAGTATCGATAGTCTTACAATGATCTCACTCTCCCAAAGAGGTGGGCAAAATGATACAGCTGATACAAGATATAGATAATAGTATTAATCGGAATATTACAATATAAAGCTGTGTACCTAAGTTAATTGTTCTGATGAAAAAAAAAACGCTTAACTTTGATTTAAGTTTCAAAATTTGATAGGGCTCTGGAAAATACTAAATAAAAGTAAATATTTGGTTATTTGTTAATGTTTTACAGTACAGAAAAACTATACAATCAATGTAATTGTTTCCCGAGAAAACAAGTGTGTTATTTTTTTTTAAACAGATCACTCACGGTATAGCGGCTGTCACTTAACCTAAAATTATCGGATCGTAGGAGAACGTTTCAACGCAATACTTATGTCCTATTGTCTAATGAAATTCTACCCGACAACACCTACCCTGCATGTAGTCGTCCCCGACCACAGGGTTGTTCCAGGAAGATCTCTTTGGCGTCGTTTCTGATGAACGGTTCGATTCAGACCAAAACAACAATTGGACTGTATATATTTTATCATTGTTACATTCAAACATCTCCGCTTGACAATAACTTCAATGTGTTCACATATACGATACGTGGTAATTGTAATTATTTGTCACATTGTTGAAACAATGGGTATTTAACCCGTTTGTAATAATATTTTGCCCAGAATTTTCTCAGAAAACATAATACGTAACGCTGACTGTATACTCCACTAAGCATTTTCCTATTAGGCTCACTAATACAAATCACAAAATAAAGTACTAATAAAGCAGAAATCTCCGGAACGACTGTCGCATTTCGCCATGTAGAATTTATTTTACACGGTCCACGGGTATCGCTTGTAATGCAATACCGGGTGATTCGTTAAACGTAATACGCTTAATATGTCTTAAAACATTTTTTTTTTAAAAAATTGCGTTTTTGTAGTTTTTAATTACAAAAATAATTTCGGCGTAATACCACAATCTGTATTTTCTTTAATCTAACGTAAAAACAATTTAAAACGCATTTTGTAAAACCATAGAAATCCGGTTGATGAAAAATGATTAAATAAATTCACTTAAGATGTGCAAATAGTCCTACAAATTAACCGTGTTTCGTCTGATAATAAGTATTTGTCAATATGCACCCGGGTGGCTCAAATTTATGGAAGACGACTATAAAATCAAGATATTAATATTATCCCTCCAATCCGCACATCTAATCGACTAGTGATTTCTAGTGTAGATGTTTTTTCAGTAATGTTACATAACACGTTTTCTTTCAACGAAATTAGTAATACAAACAATGATCAGTGGACAATCAAATCACTCAACGGTGCAACGACTTCTTCGCATAACGGAACATAAGTGTACTTCGTTTGAAAGACACTGTCATACTGGGAAAATTCACTGTCAAAATAAACGATAATATCTCCGACATTTCGGTCTATCTCAGCTGGAGTTCCTCAAGACTCTAAACTGGGTCCCTATGACTTAATACTTTTGTAGCTGACGACACAGCTATTAACAGCGGATCCCCTAACATTGAAGCGATAACTATCAACATACAGGACCATCTCGATATATTACTAAAATGGTGCAAAAACTGGAAAATACAAAAAATTCCTTTGAAAAGCACTGGAGTTATGTTTAGCCTACGCCGTTATTGTACTCCAGTACCGCTAAAATTTGATAATGAGTCATACCTTACCATTCAACTACCTTGGAATCCCATTGGATAAAAAGCTAACGTGGTGGCCACATATATCAAACAAACTACAACAAGCAAACCAGCGCATTTCGATGTTATTCCCATTACTAAATAAAAACTCCGCAATACATAAAAAATGCTCACTATTAATATACAAGCAAATTCTACGTCCTTGTTCTCACCTACGCTTGCCCTATTTGGGAGAGTTGTGCACCTACACAATTGGAAAAAATTCAAACCTTCCAAAATAAGATATTAAGAATAATAGCTAACGCTCCCCGGTTCGAACGCAACAAAAATTTACAAAAAGGCTTCCAAATTAAAAACATTCACGATCTCATAGGCACCCTGGCGGAAAAATTGCATAGTTCACTATAAAAATCCACAGGTTCACTTTACTTCAATCTACACATATATCCACAAGTCCAACGACGCTTAAACGCGGCCGTCCACATGACCTTATTACTCTTAAATATTATCATTATTATTTGTCTAAATATTACCATTAGTACTATTTATAACTGCTATTAGTTATCTTGTATTATGTATTATTATCTTATTTTTCTCGCATTCCTACTATTATCATGTTATAAAAAGTTAAAACTGTTTCTGGATATTGTATATCCTTAGATGTAGATAGCACTAGCTAGGAACGTCTTATTGTAAATAAATAAAAAAAAATAAAAATAAAAACCTTAAAAATAATTGGTTACCGATGAGTTTATATTTTCAACCAGTTATTCTTAATATTATAAAAACTTGAGAATATATACGATATAAATTATTATAGACTGACGATCAACCCAATTCGTGTTCACCCTAATAATTGTCAGAATTTTTTTTTATCGTTTAAGAGCATGAGAAAGCTGTAAATATTGGTAAAAGATTTCAGAAAACGTCACGTTTATCGACTTGCCTTGAAGCCGAGTACTCGATTTAAGATAGTATTTTAAAACATAATAATAATATTATCTTAAATCACGGTCGTGTATTTAGTGTTGTGAGTATTTGTGTTTTTCCTACCGGCAGCGGTAAGTGGTGACGGTTTTATGATCATATCCCTGTTGTTATGTTCCATATACACGCCATTATATTGATAACAAAAAAAATATATTATAATACACATGTTGGAAGTGTGTGGCTGACAACGTGTCGCACGGGAAAAAATACAATAAACGTTTTGTAATGTCTACAAAATGGACCGTTTCGACCTGAATATCGTGTTACTATGACCAATCCACGGGATGAAACAATTTATATTATATTATTATTATTATTATACGTAGTACGAGTAAAGCAATAAAGAACAATAATAATTGTTGGCCGGCCAAATAGGTCCGAAGCGCGTTTGGTTACCTATAATTTTTTTTTTTCAGCGTTTAGCTCGGTAAAGGGATAGAGATTTTTTTCCTCTGGCAGTCCGGCCAGTCGCACGACCATTTTAATGAACTGTTTTTATGGTCTTAACTGTGTGTGAGTGTATAA